AGAGAAACAGGCATCTTGACCATTTTGGCTCACTAATGCCTAGGATGTTGATCTTTATGCATTTCCTTTCACTTTAACAACTTGCAATTTTCCTAGATTCATACTTCATCCATTCCATGTTTCAATTATATCTTAATTTGAGTTGCGCCCCATCAGCAATGAAGGTCCCCAAAGCTTTGATCCATTCACATCATTAAGGTCATGTCTACTTTTAGGAAGAAGTTCTTCCCAAGTCATATTTTGAGTGCCTTCCTACCTGAGGGGTCATCTTCCAGCATGTTCTGCTGCTATCCGTAAGTTTGTCAATTGCTGAACTTTCAGAAGTGGCCTGCCTCTCCTTCTTTCTAGTCTGTCTTAGTCTAGAAGGTCTGCTTAAATCTGTCTATCATATGTTCCCTTGCTGGTATTTAAAATACCAGAGGCACTGCTTCCAGCATCACAGCAACACACAAGCCATCAGAGTATGACAAACTTGACAGACAAATGGTGGATGGCAGTGGGTATTGGGATATAATTTACACACCGTAAGACCTACCATTTTAAGAATCCATTTCAGTGGTTTTTAGTACATTATAGAGTTGTGTAATCACCAGCACTACTGAATTTTAGAGCATTCTCAACACCCAAAGAAAGACCTCATACCCATTAGCATCAACCCCCTGCCCTAATCCTGAAACCCAAAACACCCAAGCCTATTGCCATGGAGTTGATTCTGACTCATGGGGATACTATATGTTACCAAGTAGAACCCCTTCACACACACTAGAGTGAGTATTATCCGAAAAAAGGGGAAATAACAAATTGTTGACTAGGATGTAGAGAAATTAGAACCCTTATCCACTGCTGCTGAGAATGTAAAATGTTGCAGCCACTGTAGAAAACATAGGCAGTTCTGCAAAAAGTTAAACTGAATTAGCATATGACCAACAATTTCACTCCTAGGTAATAACCAAATGCACTGAAAGCAGGAACACATCAAGTACTTGTAAACTAATGTGCCCTGCAGCCCAATTCACAATAGCCAAAAGGTGGAAGCAACCCAATTGAACATTAACAGATGCATGAATAAACAAAGTGTGACAAATACAAACAGTGGAATATTCTCATGGTGAATTTAATTATTGTTACTGCACACTTAAAAATGTTTACAACAGTGCTCTCACTAGAGTGCAGACTGTACCACGTGACACTTTCAGAGAGGGTGACATAAAAATGACTGACGTTATTGTGTTGTTTCAGCAGAAATTTATTTTTATTAAGGTATCTTTGTAGTTAGTTATAACAACAAAACATTTTCACAAGCCCAATTTACATGTATCAGAATGCCTACAAAGCTCAAATTCTATGCTAATTTACTTTGTGAGCCTTCTAACGTGCTGTGGTCAGAGCTGTCATTACAGAATTGCACTGACTCTTGGAATCATGTGGTTTCTTCTGTATGCACTATAAACATGCTGCTGTTTTCATTGTTGCTGCTGTTTTTATAGTTAGCGATCTCATCAACATTTCTGGTGTTTTTGTGGCGCTGTGGGTTAATGCGCTGGACTGCAAGTCGGTTTGAACCGAGAAATTGGCCGTTCAAGCTCCTTGGAAACACTAAACAGGGTCACCATGAGTTAGACTCAATTTGACAGCGCTTAACAACAACAACAGCTATAATATTGTTGTAAGAAGGAAACCTGATGGTGCAGTGGGTTAAACATTGGGCTGCTAATTGCAAGTTTGGTGGTTCAAACTCGCCAGCTGCTCCTTGGGAAAAAGATGAGATCTGCTCCTGTAAACATTTACAGTCTCAGAAACCCTACAGAACAATTGTGTTCTGTACTACAGGGTCTATATGAGTCAGAATTAACTCAACAGCACTGGGTTTTGGGTTTATTGTGGTAAGTTGTATATGTGAATATATATCAATAGATATTTTCTGAGCATGAAGTAGAAATGAAAGGAAAAAAAACAAAACAAAACAAGCCCACTGTCATCAATTCGATTCCAATGCACAGCAACTCTATATACGGCTTCTGAGACTGCAAATCTTTACAGAAATACACAGCCTTATTTTTCTCCTTGAAGCATTTGTTGGGTTTGAACTGCTGACCTTGTGGCTAGCAGCCCACAGTACCACGAGGATTCCTTAATTAAAGGAAAAGGAGTTTTTTTTTTTTTTAAAGCTTCTGCTTAGTTACTAATAATGTAACTAATAATTTGGTGATTCAGTGTTGATTTTTAAAACCAATTTGTTGTTGGTATTCATGTAACCTAAGAAAATTGACATTTAAGTACTTTACAACTATATTATCATATGTTGTTGGTGTTGTTGTTAAGTGCTCTTGAATAGGTTTTTTTTATAGGATTTTCAAGGAGAAGCTGGTGAGCTTGAACTACCAGCCTTGTGGTTCAAATGACTTTGCAGTCCACCGCATAAACCTACAGAGCCACACCAGGACGCTGTTGTTAAGTGCCATCGATTCGGTCCGTACTCATAGCAACCCTGTATAGGGTTTTCGTGGAATGGCTGGTAAGCTTGAACCTCCGACCTTGTGGTTCAAACTGACCTTGCAGTCCAGCACATTAACCCATGTTGTGATTTTAAAAAAAGAAAGAAAAAAAAAAAAAGAAGAAAAGAAATGGCGTCCTGGTGTGGTGCTGCAGGTTAATGCACTGGACTGCAAGGTCGGTGGTTCAAGCTCACCAGCTGCTCCTCGTAAACCCTATACAGTGTTGCTGAGTCAGAACCGACTCAACTGCACTTAACAATAACAATTAAAATTGATACTAAGGATTCTGTATATGTGGTACAAGAGGAGGTCCAGGAGTTGGGGGTGGGGTGGGGAGTGGCTGGGGGTAAGGGAGGTGGGGAGTGGGCACCGGGTGACATGAATCCTAGTGATGCAGCTGAGCTAAAATAGCAATTTTTTGCAATACATTTTTACCATGATAATTTAAAAATAAGACAAAGTTAGTGTGAACTTTAAAGAGAGCGTACTAAACTTTTTTTGTAAAAAAAGGAGCAAAATAGAAAGATGTTCAGAATTAGAAAGAAATTCAACTGTTCTTGACTCATTTCCCCAGGCATTTTGGCACTGAGAAAACAGTAAGCATCCACGGCAGGGAAGATTTCAGATTAAGGGGGAGGGGAGTGGTGAGTGGGAAGAGGAGGTGTTGTGGTTAAGTGCCGTCGAGTCGGTTCCGACCCATAGCGACCCTGTACAGGGTTTCCGAGGGTGTAAATCTTTAGGGGAGTAGAAAGCCTCATCGTTCTCCCGCGGAGTGGCTGGTAGTTCGAACCGCTGACCTTAAGGTTCGCAGCCCGATTAGTAACCACTACGCTACCAGAGCTGTGGAAGGTACTTGATTTAAATTTGTGGACATTTTGCTCATATGGATATTTTTGCACTAATTGTTTAGCTTGATTGCTGAGTTATTTGGAATTAAATTTAGCGCACTGAAGTCCTGGCAGAGTGAGATTGCAGGGAACAGAGGGCAGGAAAAAACATTCCGGGAGAAGCAGCAGAAATGGCCAACAATTCCTAAAGTAAATGCTGCCCTTCCCTGGCAGGCAGATAAAGGCTCAGGGCTCTGCAAAGAGGGGAGAGTGACAGGCCCCGAAGGTGGCGATGGTAAGTAAACATGGGTAGAGGAGAAGCGGGGTGAGGGGTGTCGACAGGAGTGGGCACGGGGTCAGGGCGGAGCCGCTTGGCCACGAGTCATCACGTGACTGGCCAGCGCGCCTACTCGCGCACCTCCCTCTCGAGTCAGAGCGGCCCTGGCGCGTCCCTCCTCGGTACTGTTCCCGGAGGCCCTGAGGGCGTGCTGGCTAGAGACAGCCCAGGGAACCAGGAGGCTGAAGCGGAGCAGGTAAGGAAGCCGGAGGCATCCCTGGGCTGGTGTGGGAGCGCGAGCATGGCAGGGAGGCGGGCTGGCAGAACAGCCTCCCAGGCTTCTGGCAGCCCGGACTCAGCTGGTCCCGGGGTGCAGCCCGCATGTCCACTGCGAACCGGTGCGTGCGGGTGCAGAGCATGGGAGGTCTCTCCCGGCCCTGCGGGAGGGTGGGCCCCAGGCCGCGACCACTGGCAGACACCTGCCTCTCCCACCACCGCAGGCTCCCCCAACAACCCGCTCCGCCCCCATCGTGCATAAAATGGTGGTTTATGAGGAGGGAGGAGTGGTGGTGGGAGTAAGTGGGGAGGCTGGCTGAGTCCGAGGGTGCTAAGGGCTCAGCGGCAGCATTTCCCCTCCTTCCCCCACCGCCCACATCTGCAGGTCTGAGGTTCCAGACAGCGCACCTGGGGGTAAGGATCCTGAGGAGGAGGAGACTGCCTGGATAGGCCCAGGTTGGTGCTAGGGACCATGGGGATGGTGGGGGAAGTGACGAATCTAGAGAACCCAATCTGAGACCTCTGTTCCCCGCCTCCCGCCCCCCCCAGCCCCTTTCTCCATTTTGGTGCCTGCAGCGGTCTGGTGATGGAGAAGCAGGAAAAATGGTGGGCTTAGGGGAGGGAGGGGAGAGGACTGGGAACCCTCTAGAGGGCGCCCTAGTCGCTCAGGTGGGAAGAATGAAATTAAAAAAAAACAACACAAACCTCTGAATACTTTAGAAATTAGAAAAAAACCACACAAACCTTTCAATGCTCTGGTGCTATAGGATTTGCACTGGACTACTACCCGAAATGTTGGCTTGAACCACAAGTTTGACGGTTCAAACCCTGCAGCTACTCCTTGGAAACACTATACAGGGTCGCTATACATTGTAACTGACTCAACAGCACTTAACAAGGTTGGCAATCCAAACCCACCACCTGCTCTGTGGGAGAAAGATGAGACTTTATGCTCCTGTAAAGATTTAGTCTCGGAAACCCTGTATAATGTTCCTGTGAGTCAGAATAGACTCCAGTGGGTTTGGGGTTTGGAATGGTGAAAGGTGCATAGTAGGACCTCTGTCCTCAGTGCTGTTTTGCCTAGGAAGCATTCCGCCCCTTCTCTTGCTTTGTTTCATAGGAGTCATGGCATCCAAAGAGGGACAATCAGGAAAAAATCTCAATGTGGAAAATGTCCTCCAGGAAAATCAAGGAGGGGAGCAGGTCCCCGTGAAGAATGAAGAGGAAGGCCACACTTTGGGAAGGGGTGAAAGCCGGCAGTTTGAAGGAAATGTTAGACGGGGACTTGTTTGGCGACTTGCCCATAATTTCCGATGGGGTCTATATAATAGGCATTTTGGCCACAGTGAAGTGGGAAATGATGTACAAAGGCTCACAGAGCAGATGATGGAAGTCAGGAGAAAGATTAAAGAGCGTCAGATGAGGCGCTATATGGGCTGTCAAATTCCTGAACCAGACAATCATGATGACTTTTGCCTTATACCTTGAATACTATGATTTTCCCTCAAGTTAATAACGTGGCTTCTGCCTTACAACTTGTGTTGCTGTGGTTCAGTTTTCCTGTCAACTTTTTGGTGTTTCCATTTACCAGTTTCAAATTAAATAATCATTTTGTGTCAGTCTAAAAGTTTCTGTCAGCAGGGCATTTTCAAATACCCATTTTTAAAGAAAAATACAAATTTCATATTGCAAAATTAATAAAGCATTTAAAAAGGCAATTGTCACCAATTTTAAGAATCTGTCCCATCATCTTCCTCTTACATTCCAGTCCCTAATTTACCTTCTCTCTGTTACCTAGGACTCAAAATCTCAGTTGTCTTTGAGTATTATTTTTCTTTGTCCCCAACCAATCAGCAAGGAACATTTATATCCATAATTCTATATTTGATAATCATTTTAAGGATGTCTGTCTTAGTGTTTTTAAAGATTGCTAGTATGGCTGCTTTACACACTAGCACTGGATAAACACTGGACTGCTGACCAAAAGATTGGCAGTTCAAACCTACCAGCCCCTCTTTGAAAACCCTGTGCAAGGTAGCTATGAGTTGGAACTGATTGGATAGTACTTAACCACCAGCCTACCATCTTCATAAAAATATTTGGGGACGTTTTTTTAAAAAAAAAAGCAACAACTCTTTATTATGAATTGAGTGAAGGTTTATAGAGTAGATCATCAGTTTTACATTCCACAAATCTTACCTTATGTTTCATCTCAATGATTGCAAATCCCCTCAATGGAACATCACTCATCCCACTTCCTCCCTTTGTTTTCTTGTTTCCATTCTCTCCCAACTCTTCTCAATTTTGTCCTCGTCTAAATTTTGCCCTTTTAATCGTGAATTGGTGACCATTCTATGATGGCTATGCCCCACTAGAGTCACCCCTCTATATACCAATCTATTATTTGACTGAAAATAGAGCAATGGGGTGAGTTCAGTACCAGACCTGAAGAATGAACAAAGCCTGTCTTGGAATTTCACTTACCTGACCAGTTAAGTGTCGTTGAGTTCATTCTGACTCATAGAAAGCCTGTATAGGGCTCCTGAGAAGTAACTGGTGGGTTTGAACTGCCAACCTTGTGGTTCAAACCTTGCAGTTCAGTGCTTATCCTACAGCGGCACACCAGAACTCCATCTGACCACTAAGCCTGGTTATTTTTTTATGATTCTGAGTTTTGTTCCACGTTCTCTCCCACTCCCACCAGGAGTTTCTAATGTGATCCATTTCAGAGCAGTTGGTAGTGAGCCGGGAACCATCTAGTTCTGATCTGAGGACTGTGGAGATTGATGTTCATGTGGTCCATTAGTCCACTGGACAAACTGTTTCCTAACAACTTCAATTTTCATCACTCTTTCTTCTGGACAGAGAAAAACCAATAGTTACATCTTAAATGGCTGCTCAAGAGCTTTTAAGATCTGGGGGCCTTTCTGAGAATGTATCTCTCACACCCATCATCTAGACTCACAGTAGGGCTCCAGAATTTACATTTTTAACAAGCTCCTCAAGTAATTCTGATGTATATCAAATTCTGAGGAATGCTGATGTGTGTATGTATCTATGCATCCATATGTTGTTAGGTGCCGGTGAGTCGGCTCCGACTTAGCCATCGTATACACAACACAACAAAACACTGTCCGGTCCTGTGCCATCCTCACAATTGTAATTAGCTTTGAGCCCATTGCTGTGTCAGTCCATCTTGTTGGGGGGCCTTCCTCTTTTTCGCTGACCCTCCACTTTACCAAGCAGGATGCCCTTCTCCAGGGAATGATGTCTCCTGATAATATGTCCAAAGTATGAGAGACGAAATCTTGTCATCCTGGCTGTACTTCTTCCAGCACAGATTTGTTTGTTCTTCTGACAGTCCATGGTACTTTCAATATCCTTACCCAACACCATAACTCAAATGCACCAATTATTCTATGGTCTTTCTTATTCATGGTCCAACTTTCACATGCATATGAGACTATAAAAAATATCACAGCTTAAAATGAGGAACAAGACACCGGGAATTGATGGAATAAAAATTGAAATCTTTCAAGAAAGTGAGGCGGCACAAGAGGCACTCAATCATCTCTGCCAAGAAATTTGGAAGACAACTATCTGGCCAACTGATTGGAAGAGATCAATATTTGTGCCC